TAATATATTAATAATAAAAATTTTAATATGTCACACAATCACACCAATTACCTGGCCCATTCTCGTTCTCGGTCCGATACAATCACTGTCAAATAATAACATATAATACTCGACCTCGACCAAACTAAAAGACAGTGCTATTATTATAGCTATTATTATCTCAGTACAGAGTACTAAAAAAACCGACCTCAAAAGTACACAGAATTACATCTATTTGCCAAGTTTTTTTGAAATCTGAAAAATGAATCTTCATGCGTGAACAGCCCTCTTAGAGGTGGATGATTTTCTTCAAAACTAAATGGGACCACTATGGAGGCACCCTCTTTCCAACAAAAAAGAATCATGAAAATCGGGCACAAATACCGGAGTTATCGCGTAACATTCATACAAAAAGAATACAGTCGAATTGAGAACCTCCTCCTTTTTTAAAGTCGGTTAAAAAGTATGAAGCTTCACTCGCATCATGCGTCTTGTAATTCGTCGAGAATTACTTATTTGACAGCACTTGTTTCTGACGGATGTCGGACGCTGAACGAGAGTAAGAGTAAATACTCTGGTCTCAAATTAAGGATTCCCTACAGGGAATGGTACTCGTAGTATACATACTATGGGTCGTATTCTAGAACTCTATTCAATGCTCAAGTCAGGATTGCACTGGCAACACAAGCACTGGAAATACGACCCTAATGGCAGGGACTTGAGTATGATTAGAGTTCTAGAATACGACCCTATGACTACCAGAGCAACGGATTTCAGTCTGGGGCACTTCAAACTGGTACTACCGGGAATCGAGACCAGGAACTCCGCATCTTGCGCCCACAGTGTAAATCGTTTGGCCACCGAGATCGTCTAATTAGATTAAAGATTTATATTAGATTAAAATCTTTCGTTATGTCTCTTGCTCCAGACATTGCTACGCTCTTCAGAGTTTCATATGTTTGATGTACATAAAATTATTAGAGAAGAGCTATAATAAGTAGAGCCGAAAGGTCCGAAAAGCCTGAAACCCCGGGCTGTCTTATTCAGCCTTGCAGTATTCACTTTTCTTATGACACCAAGTGACGAGACGCACAAGTCATGCGCCTGGTGGTAAGCGACACTCCTGTCCATAGCAGTAGCATAGAATTGAAGGACACTGCCACTGCGCGTATCACGCTGAGATATAACGCTCATTTGATGCTGCATTGACGTAATTGTAATTTTGGCAAAATTGAATTAAGTATCAAATTTTTATTGAATATACTCAATTTTTTTTTTTTTGTGAAATTACTCCACTAGTAGTCAATGACTAGTTTGTTATAATTATTAATACAAAGATCTAACACTTAGAAAAAAAATTAATAACAATTCAATAAAAATTTGATGAAAAGCTAGTAGCGACATCTCTAGCCAAAGCTGGTAGCTGTAAGGTATCTAACTGGGTGACGAAATACTTTCATGGATTTTTCATCGATGGCTCTACGGCCAAAAAGTTGTTGAAAACCAAATACAAAGACCCAACAACAAGCACATAGAAAAATTCGTGAGGTCCACTGGTTCGTTCCGTGGCTGAGTTGGCATAGCGTCTGGCACGGTTTGCTATAAGACGTCGGTTCGAATCGGGCCGGATATTAATTAAATATGTTAACACATCTGTATCATAACAAGTATGTAAGTATTTTCATTTTACATCATTTCCTTTAACATTACAAGAAATACAGTTGCGTCAGTGTAGCAACTAAATGAGCGAATTATAAGTCTAAATTTATAAGTCTCACGTGGTTGTAATGGAACCAGCACCCTTACCCTTCAAAACCGGAACACGGTGATGCTCACATTACCGCTTGGCGGCAGATATAGGTAAGGTGGTGGTACTTCCCTGGATGAACTCTTTCACAAGGAGCTCTACTGCTACTGAGTTGGAGAGTAAATTTATTATGTAAGTCGACGAAAATTGGGTTATAGGAACAAGACTCGGATATGACGTCTAAGGTCGGTTAAATTTAATCCAATTAAGGTCACTCTTGCACGATTAACGGGTGTTAAATATGTTTGAAATAATTTATATACCCTCAGACATAAGTTGACAAGTCCCATTTGCTTGTAATTTCATCAGCTAATACCTTTACCCTTCAAAACTGGAACGCATTAATGCTAATATTGCTGCTTGGCGGCAGAAATAGGTAAGGTAGCGGTACTTCCCTGGACGGACTATTCACAAGAAGCTCTACTTCTATTAAACTGCATAAATCCTTAGTTTAATTTAGTAGAAACACTTTTTTACTTATCTTCTGTTAGAAATTTGACATATAACTTTTATAAATAACTGGTGGAACTGGAAAGCCAAGCTGTCTTTCGCTTTAGACAGTTGGCCTGATAGTAACCACAAACTGGCGAATACTATCAAAATGCATGCAAGTTAATCTCCTAAAAAATATTAATTACGTTTGTATGTTTTTTGTTTTAAGAGTTTAGAAAAACGAAGTTAAGAGTTTATGAAACTGAAATTAAGAATTTATGAAAATGAATTTAGGAGTTTATGAAAATTAAATTAAATTTCATTCAAACATGTGCCCAGCAACTGTGGTAGCCTAATGGTTTCACTTACCGCTTCTCAAGCAGAGGGTCTTGGGTTCGAATCCGGGCAAGTTCCCAAACCGAATCGGGCTCGCGTGCGATTACAGTTGAAGCCCTCATCGTGAAAAGAGGCCTGTGCCACAGTGGGACTAACTATTATAGTGACTTATTATTTTCTATAAAAAACTTTTGATCTCTCGTAAAGTCTTACTATGGTAATTGGCATTAAGTTTTTCAGGCATAGTATTTTCGGTTATCACTTCAACTCTCGAATAATGATAGCTTGTATTAAATTTGTTTTATAATGACATATTCCTGTAAAAAAGAATAGACATACGATTTATGAAGAAAGACCGTATAGTAAAAAAAATAAAGATACTAAGATCGTACACGGTCAAGAACACGTCAAGTATGACACTCAAAATTTAAATTCACCTCTATGTTACTTACAATAAGGACAGCTAAAATCTAAAGAGTCAAGCTTGATATGCTTCTGACTGTACATCTTTCCATTACGATAAAAATGTCAAACACGGCAGTTAGTGAGAAGAGGCGAGATATGTGCGCGAATGTATATTTCATATTGCGTCACCGAAGTCGGCGGCATTCGAGAGGTATATAATAAAAAAGAAGAAAAATAGTATTTTTCATATTTTTATTTCACATTTCATATTGGCAGTCGACGAAAAGTTTAAGTAATAGGTAATATCAATTTCATACGTAATATCATTTTTTTACTTAAAACTCTCATAAAGAAATGTCATACGAAATATTTATTAAATGAGAGTTGAAACAACAGCGCAATATTTGTAAAGTGTATTCCAATCAATTATCCCAAAAAAAGTAAACAAACCGGTTTGGTGAAAATTCTAAAGCAATCACTCAATAAATGGAATAAGTAACACCTTAGGAGGATTGAAAATTAGATTTAGGAATAGTGGAAAAAATAGGGTGGTTTGCATTAATATTTGACATAATTGGTTGATGACTGTACCACCTCAGTCAACCGTGACCATGGGACCTGTACAGGGCCCGAAACGTCGGTTTGTCTGAAAAAACAAATATACGCGATTTAAATCCGGAAAAATAGTTTCATTTCATAGATTTAAAAAATTTTAAATTTACTTTTTAGGTTATGTAAGAAAAAAATTCTAATCTCATGTATGAAATATCATCACTCAGTATTGAATCGCATTTTTTTATAGTAATCAGCAGCGAAATCGCGAAACTCATTTTATTATATAAATTTCAGTTATTCCCAACTGATTCAAATAAACAATTAAATTCATTCAATTAATTAATCGATATGTAGTTGGCGGTACAGTTGGTCATCACTAAGCTGTTTATGGTCGGGTCAATGATCTATTTGTTTACTTTTTTGGAACATTGGATTGGAACAGACTATATTTAACAAGAAATGCTTCGGACTCGATTATTTTTTTCACAAAATTATTAAATTTACTCTTCCGAAAACATTTAATAGATTTAGTAAGAATTACACACATCAAAAGTCTATGGATCAAGCACGTTCTTGTCAATTACTGAAAACCAGGTCATCTTTATTGAATTTTTTTAACACCAGCTGATTTTTTGGTCAATTTTATAATCCAAATTCATGAAAATGAAAATAGATATAAATTAATCCATTGGTAGTAAAAAAAATTACTATTAAAATACCTGATTTCCAGTAATTAAGAAAAACGTGCTTGATCGCTAGACTATTTTGATGTGTGTGTATATACATATAATTTTATTAACAATTTATATTTATATATTTTCTGTGACCAACATGTACGTCTAAGATTTGAAAGAACAATAATAATATTTTGCATAATAATACCCGGTTTACACTATTATAGTGCTTAGTAGAGTGCACTTGTTAAGTACGTTCAGAATATTTATATATGTTGAATAGTTGCGTATAGAGAATATGTACTGCAACCGACCAGTTTCACGACGCGAAAGTTTTCACGCGGTCGCCACGCGACAACCCAATTACCGTCCGTACGCACAACTGTGAAACCAGCCTAAGGTTCATTACTCCTCACTTACAGTTTATTCGACGATATTACAATAATATGGTGACCATTATCTGATGCTGTAATCAGGACAGTCTGCACACTACTCAACTTCTCAACTAGGTAAATAAAGTAGAACTATCGCGTTTGGCTCATCAAAGTCTGGACGAGTTGTTAGATGGTAACGTTATCGACTTTTTAAAGTGCACTATTTTATATCCAAGTTTTTTTTAAATTATTTTTTATAGCCCTATAACTCTAGCTAGTTTAAATTATTCTTAAATACTCTACTAGGATACTAATGTAATGTAAATCGGGTACCCAGCATTAAAAACGATATATTCTAAGACTTAATTTAAAACATCTCTCTTCAAGTGAGATTTCGCAAAGTCTATAGCTTTCAGCGTTGCCATAAAGAAGAGAACTATCTAGAAAATTAACTTCTATTCAATGGCACTTGCTTTGTATTTGTTTCCTTTTATTACACATACATTGTATAACAGTCATGTCTTTCTTTCTTACGTAAATACCGTATATAGGAAATGGCTAATAAATTTTTTTTCTATGATTTTTTCAACTACCTTTCATAAAGACTATGAAAGCTGAAAATTTCTGTCGTGCTCGTAAATACAAAAAAACAATATTTTGGAAGTTTCTTGTATGCGTAATAAAGACGGAAGCTTAAAAAATACGAGAAAATACTCAGCACCTAAATTAATGTGCGTCATACGCGTACAATTAGAATTAAATTATTTACAATAAGTGGTCCTTTGTCACTTTCTTTAAACAATAACAATTCACACACTTTGCAACCATTCCATTAAAAATTGGGTCAGTGTTTTTTTTATATTTTGTAAGTTTTTAGAACTTTTTTTGTGTAGTTAATCATTTTTTTAGTTTGTTTTTTTTCGCGGCAAAGGACCACGTCTCGAACGTTAAACAATGGTTCAGTCACGTTTAAACTAACATTACAATTGACCTTAAATTTAATGAACCTTGTGAATGTGGAATACTGATTAAGTAATTAAATTTATTACAATTAGAGACACTAAAATGCAGCGGGAGGAATATCGTTAAAATATACTAAAAAATAACTACGCCAAGGGATAGGTTAAACAAAAACCACGTTAAAAATAAGCAAACAAAACACAGTAGACAAATAACTTCTATTCGTAAATCTGAAGCACAAACTTGAGCAGCTAAGTCGGGAACTATAAAAATAGCATAATTTTATTCTTAATTGCGACATATTGACCATTATTTCTCATTAGACTTTACCCAATCAGTCCCACAATACAATGGTTACCCTACACTAGTCTAGAGATCCATACTGAAAGTCTCCTGCGACTCATCGAAGGAAATCGAATTTGAGCGCACATTCTTCTGTGAAGGCGAGTGCGTCGCTGTGTGGGCGCCAGGGTTCTTGAGCAGCCCAGCAGGGAGACTACACTTTGGTGGTGTTTGCGAAATCGGTGATTGTCTCAGCGACATCATGAAGGATCGCTCATAAACTATTCTGGTACCTGAAAAAGATAGAATACTTATTAACTAAGGTGATAGTTTTCAGAAGACAAACTAAAATGCTAACTCTAGGGAGTATGTTGTTCGTTCTGGTTCTTATCGCTGCCAAACAGCTCCTTTTATACAGATTCATGGCTAACATACTATATATAAATTTCTATCCCTTCGAGATCTTCTTTACATATAAATATCAATAAAGATGATTTATTTGAAAAAAAATGTTATGTTTTTGACATTTTGACAACATGACAATAACTTACTATAGGATTGTTTAGTTGCCAAAATATAGATGCTCATAGATGCATGCCAATATCGGTAATAACGTCTGTATTACGTATACTTGTAGCACTTTTTGTAAAATATATAATATTCAAATAAATACCATTCATTCATTAATTCATCCATTCACGGTCCATTCTTTCAGACTGATCGAAACCACGAATCTGTATGTTTAAGTCATTAACAATTCAAATGAAAGCAACTCCAAATTATTCGTAAGATCGCGTAACTTTATTTGTCACCACAATTATTGTTCGATAATCACACTCCCAGTCAAAATTTAGTCTCGCAAATGTAACCTAGAAAAACTGACTAGACCACCCGATTAGCCCTACTGTTATATTATATTTGAGTAGGGATTTAAACCACGCGGGAAGTAACACAATACATCAGAGGCTCCCATTTTACCGAAAATCTAAATTATATCTAAACTAATAGAAAAATATAAGAATCCTAACACTTGAATGCCAGGGGAACAAGGGATGTAGCGACGGATCGGTTGGTTGGCTAACACATTATTATTATTATTATTACATTGAAACGCTGTTTAAAAAAAGAATATTTTTTTTGACCAAATTCAAATTAATCAACCTTCATAAATGCAAGCTCCATTTAGTATTCACTAAACAAGACTGATCCAGAATTCTAAAACAAGGCAACATAATTTCCATCGTCTTTAACTACGACCTCGATATAAACAATTGGTTTGTTTTTAAATTTTTATTGCACGTGTAGGCACTTTAAACAACTGTAGCTTCCATTTCAAGGTAGTCTAGATTTCAAATCGAAGCCGTGGCTAGATCATTTTATCAGGATACTTTATGCTCGGTTTCAAGTAAACAACACTACCTTTCTTAACGACGAGATGACACGTGTCATTTCCATTACTTGCTTCTAATTAATATGTGTCAACTCTACTTAGCCTAAAGTAGAGATGTAGAGTAAATATTTAATGAAGCGAGATAAATATGCTAATACGTTCGCTGAAATGCCTTTGTTATGTCTAGACTTATCGTTCAATTTATGGGAGCATGGTCCTCTGTATAAAGATGAATTTATTGGAGAAGTTTTTGTTAGAACCTCTTGTTTGTTCTCTGTCCCCCATATATATCGTGTCCTCAATAATAAAATGACGAAATAAATCTTGTCTTGATAACCTGCGAGAGATCTATGAGAAGCTTCTTAGATATCGGAGCTTCATAAATCTCGGAGCTTCATAGATCTCGGAGCTTCATAGACGTCGGAACTTCATAGACGTCGGAGCTTCATAGATCTCGGAGCTTCATAGATCTCGATAGATATGTCACAGATGTCGCTTATGGCAATAAAAGCCGTAAAAAACCCGATAAAAAACCTGTATCAAACACTGAGATAAATTCGTTAAGTCTGCTGTATCTGATGATGATGCAGGTTCCATAGTTCTTGTACACCTGGCTATAAGCCAAGGGCCTTGAAAGCCCCGATTAACGCCTGCAGGACCAAAGACAGGCTAGTGAAATTACAGGCACAACTTGTCAACTTATGTCTCAGGGTGACGGGCGCAGTGACAGTGCCCAAGCTCTGAATGGCACTGCCATTGTTACGGACAGGCGCGTAGCTTACCACCAGTCTTGTTTTCGTCCCGTCATTTGGTATCGTTACAAAAACAGAAAAATTAATTTAAATTTTTAACGCAGTTAGAAAAAAGTCATTAACAATATTTCAAATCTCGATTCTAAATCCAACACCATTCAACGAAGTAGTTGATGTTGCGTAACCATTATTCTTTAATGCTTATAAGTGCTAGGCCATAATTCATAAGTTAATTAGCGAAAACAACGTATGTAACTATAAATAAAACAGTTTATCGCCCTACGCAGTTGTGTATTACATTTTTTAGTCCTTACTTCCTCTGGCATTGTTTACCTCTGCGCCATGTTTCACGTTTCGCGTGGTACGTGACAATGGACGAGCTATGTGTGACAAAGAGAAATAAATGTATGGCGCTTCCTAGTGCTCTATTTATTATGCATTTGTATTGTACATCTACATAAGGTTGCTTGTTGATTTTATTAAAGGAATATGTATACGAGTAGAGCAATGTAAAATAACGTTGCTAAGTAATTTCGACGGTAGTGTTTATTTTGGATAACTGACATCCCATTGGTCGTCCCCTGGTGCTGTATATAGTGGAGAGAAAATTTATGTCCGATAAATTTATGTCAGTAATACCTAATTAAAGTCACGGTCACGGTTGACCATGGGATCTGTAAAGGGTCGCGATTTAAATCCCGAAAAATAGTTCCATTCCTATGTGTAACAATCGCGAAAACCTAAGAACTCGATAAATACCTAATTATTTTAAAATTATTGCTCTCGACACAGGGGGTACGTCGGTAATAATTATTTTATTATCGACATGATTTTAGTCGCAGTAGAACTCCTTATAAAAGAGTTCGTCCAGGGAAGTATTGCTACCTTACCTATTTCTGCCGCCATGCAATGTCAGCATTACTGTGTTCCGGCTTTGAAAGGTATCTAAGGGCACTAGTGAAATTACATGGGACTTATCAACTTGACAGGCACAGTGACAGTATCCCTCAGATCTTTGCGATTTAAAACTCTGAGGAGCACTACAACCGTTATGGACAGTGTGTGTTATAAAAAAAAATATGTATACGAGTAGAGCAATGTATAATCTCAGTACAGAGTACTAATAAAACCGACCTCAAAAGTACGTGGAATTACGTCTACTTGCTAAGTTTCATTGAAATATCCCCTAGTTCGCCACTATACAGGACTTGATACTGGAGATAATAAAAATAGGTTCTCACTACGACACTACTCGAAGTATATCGAGAGAAAAACGCCTTGAATTGGAGAAATAGCAAAATCAACTAAATAATTGCTAAAAGTAATTGCTCCTAAATTAAAGTAAGGCGCTATTTATAAAAATTAATCTTCATGCGTGAACAGCCACCCTTTGAGTTGGATGATTTTCTTCAAAATGAAATAGGACCACTATGGAAATACCCCCTTTCCAACAAAAAAAGAATCATGAAAATCGGTTCACAAATGCCGAGTTATCGCGTAACATACATACAAAAAAAAACATACAGTCCAATTGACAACCTCCTCCTTTTTTGAAGTCGGTTAAAAATAACGTTACTAAGTAATTTCGACGGTAGTGTTTATTTTGGATTACTGACATCCCCCTGGTCATCCCCTGGTGCGGAATATAGTGGTGATTTCGGGAAAATGTATGTGCGATAATACCTAACTATTTTTAAATTATTAGTCTCGGTATACGCACCGAATTGGTTAACCACACACAGGGGGTATGTCGGTAACAATTCTCTTATTCTGGGAATTACCAGGGGAATTGCAATAGTAATTGGTTTTTTTAAAGATTAGAACAATGTTTTGCTGCTGTTAAGTTGGTGACTTTCGTTTACATGTGACAAAATGATAACAAAAATATGATGAGCATAGGCTTAAAATACAAAATAAAAACTAGTAGCTTTTTATAGTTACGCTTTTCATTAAAACTGGAAGTACCAAGGCAATCTATGGATTGCCCTAAGACACTTTCATAATCAACTTACGACTTTAGAGTGGTTACACACGGCGACTTTAGCGGTGCAAACGCGCAACTGCATCGATACAAACGCGCGATTGCATCGATGCAATCGCTTATAAATCACAAACGTAGCAATGCAATCGCGCGTTTGTATCGACGCAGTCGCGCGTTTTCATCGCTGCTAACAGTCACCGTGTGTAACCGCTCGTACACTTTACGTAAAAATTTAAAGACCTCATCTACGAACGTAACAATGACAATCTTTGAATAATAAGTTGTTAATTTAATTCTCATTGAACCGTAACCCTTAACGTAAACGTCACAACGCGTTTACGAAAATAACATCAATGTTAGGTTATAAACTCGCCATGTGGAGCTTATATAACAAACCACTCGGTAACACGAAGCCGATCGCCGATAGCCTAATCAACCGTAACGGTTACCACAGGTTAATAAACAAGAAGTAAGACTTCTGTACGTTTTGCAGTGTGAAGAATTTCGAATTTTGATTGTTATTAAATTATTCGTTTCCGAATTATCTATAGCAACCAACATTGTAAATTACTACAATAACTGCTTTGCTAATGACAATGTTTACCTAATTAAAAATTATACGAGCTCTAAACGCCATAAATTATTTTTACACCATAGCTTTAAAACAAAATTTAGAGCCTTATTAATTTTTATAGTTAATATTGTTCCAGCTGTATTAGATATACAAAGATGTAAGAAATATCCAAAAAACAGTCAAGAAAAATGTAAAAAGAAAATATTTTAACAAGAAAATGTTACAGAAAAAGATAAAGAAACACAGTGAACCACTAAATATTCACTTCTTAATGGAACATAAAGATTGGTTTGTATTTAAACAGTTGTTGCTTGCTTGTAGGTACGAAAACAAAGAAATAATATATTGCATGACTCATGGAAGTCACTATTATTCGTTACGTACACGTGTGGAAAGACAATGTTTAGTTTATATTATAACACTTCTTTCACTTATAAAACTTGTCATGATATACTAAACTGAATATTTATTAATAAAACGTAAAACCTAGTCTCTAATCATTTTTCAGTGTAAAAATCTAATCGGTTTTAAACATAAAAAGGTGTTAAAAGTTATTCTACAGTATTTTGAGTACGCTGTGGCGTCAAGGACATTTCATTCGGATTTGTTTATTCTAATCTATCAAGGTCGAATAGCAACAATGGCGCATTCATAAGATGTTTAAGTTAATCACTGATTACTACGCAATAATGTAGCTTTTTAGAGACGCTGTTGTTACGCTTATGCGTCCCTAGTTTATTAAAATAAATGAGAGTGTTATATATAGAAATACGAACAAATATACACGTGGTTGCGCTGTTTACAAATATCTTTTAGGTTATGAGAGGTTATGTAACGGGTACATTGTGAAATAATCTAAATGTTGTAATTCGTAATGATATTTGAATGCTCATTGTCATTATATAAGTAATTGTACTAGTAATTAGTAAAATTCCTAATAACCCTTTCAAGGACAGTACGTAAATAGAACTGCACACGAAAATGTCAGTACTTTTCAAGCCGTAGCGATAATATTGATTCAATATAAAATGTTCAATGTATGTAAATAATTGAAATTTGTCAGTACGTTGTTGATACTTCTCTATGGAAAAGCAGTAGGCGGCAACTACGCAAAAAGCACTTGAAATCGCAATGTAAAACCCATAGTTGGTTTTTTGAGATCCATATGGCGAGACGGGGTACCCCGTACTATCACATTATCATCATTTGAGCCAAAAGACGTCCACGTACAATCCTGCGCCACTTGCATCCAGCGGATTCCCGCAGCCTTCACCAGATCAACAATCCACCTTAACCAGACCGCGTCTTCCGGTACTCGATCACCACTCGAGACTACTTCGGCCCCATGGCGGTTACTCTGGTTCCCTTGCGGATATCCTTGCTATTGATTCGATCTCGCAACGAAACTCCGAACATAATAACCCTTTCCATTGCCCTTTGAGTGACCTTGAGCCTTCTTACGAGGACTATAGTGAGGGACCACGTCTCAGTGCCGTAAGTCGTCACTGCCAACACACACTGGTCGAAATACTATCATATTCTAATATTTAATTTTACGATAAGGCTGTTACTGTTACACGAACGAGTGAATTTGTGCAAAAAGGAATTATGTGATTAGATCTGAAAAAATATTATCTTTCTTAAATATTGTTTATTATTTGATTTTTTTTTCAGTTCCTTAAAGTTACTATATGACGTATATTACAGATAAATATAAATTTGAATGCTCTCCCGGACTCCATCTGAAGGTCTGTTACTAAATCGTGTTTCAAAAAGAATGTTCAAAAGCATCTTTTATATTGTTTGTGTGTTATTGTAAGTACTATGTGTATAGGTATGTATAAATACGGTTTGTTTGTTATATATATTATTATATAATATTTTAATGTACCATTATGGTCAATAAATTTCAATAAATAATAATTGCAAACTGTGGAATATTCTTCACGTTGCAGTAGTTTATTTTTATTTTATGGTTTGATTATAATTTATACACGGCTATTACATATTTTATAACGTCCTCTGTTTATAAAGTTACGTATTTAATTAGTCGCCTAAATTGTATTAAAACGTGTTCCAGTAGTCAACAAGGATTCAACTGTGTGGTGTAGAGATAGGTCATTAAGCCTGCTATTTTGGTCTCGTGACGAACTAAATAGACGGTCGTTAACATTGTAACAAATGGAAAACTGTGCTAGTGACTCGTGTAGATCTCACAAGTTGTTTCTACCTCTTCTAGTTGTTGTTGTGTTGTGTATTAGTAAATATTGTAAATTATACAAACATACCATCAAGTCTGGAAACACACTAAGACCAGCACAGCACATGCATGAACACTCCAGATAAAACTTTTTCGCTCCTCCGTGTCCATCAGTCGTTCATACATTAAAAGTCTATAGTGACGGGACGAACAAGTCGTGCAGCTGATGATAAGCTACACGCCTGTCCATAACAATTGCAGTGCAACTCAGAGCTTTAAATCGCAAAGATCTGAGGGGCACTGCCTTTGCGCCCGTCACCCTTAGACATAAGTTGTCAAGTCCCGTGTGCCTGTAATTTAACCAGCACAAACAAGTCAAAGTCACTTCTTTATTTCGTAGGTAGGAAGTAAATTACACTTGAAATCGTCATACTGTTTAAATTCATTCGTAGGGTAGATTCCCCTGAGAAGAATGAGCAAGAAACTCTAGGGGTTGCTCTTTCTAAATATACATTTGAATACATTTATCATTATAATATTTAATTTAAACATCTTAGATCGAGACTGCGAGCAAGAGCTAAACTTGTCACTACCTCGGATTTTTGTCATTCAAGTACGCAGAAGCTGTATAATAATAAATAATAAACCTTTAATATAAAGTTTTTGTTTCACTATAGTTTTAAACCTCGTAAATGGCAAATTTTAAGAAGCGAATACATTGCCATTCTCAAATTAATTGCTTAAATGAATTTGAGAATGTGTGAAGACGACAACAGCTTTACTTTTATACTAACTGGTGCCCACGACTGTGCGTAGAATGTGTACTTCGAGAAGTCTACTGTACTATACTAATTTTCATAGTTTTATTGGTTCTCCATATAAACGTTTATCCCCTATTTCACTGCCTTTAGATTTATTATTGTGACAAAAAGTAGCCTATGTCCTTCTCCTAAGTCTCATTTATCTTTATATACCAAAATTCATCTAAATTGGTTAGCTGTTTACGCGTGAAAACGCAACAGACAGAGTTACTGTTAAGAGTTACTTTGGCACTTAAAATAGGTTGGATACAACCATTGACTTTTTATTTGTAAGTCAATGGCTACAACATATTGTGCTCTCATCAGTAGGACTAGCACGACAGGACGCGACTAATTATTATTATAATTACTGAACTATCAATAAAGAACATTTTTCACTAATCATGGTATGCTTGCTTTGTTTAACCGACTTCAAAAAAGGATTTTTTTTTTGTGTATATTACGCGATTACTCTTAATTCTTGAACCGATTTCGATAACTGCCTCCGTGGCCGAACGGTTACCATGCCAGACTGACACGCAGAGGTCCTATGTTTGATTCCCGGGCCGGGAGAAATATTTGTATGGCCACATTTATTTATCTCGTGAGTTTGGGTGTAATTTGTGGTTGTCTATGTGTGTGCCCATGGCACCAGCGACACATGGTTTCCCTAGTGCGGGACTATGTTGAGTGCGTGCGTTAATACCATAATAGCATTGATTATTTTTTGTTGTTAAGCGAAACTGTTAAGCCACAGACGTCAATGGACTTGGATGTTTACATCCAAGTCCATTCTTCTTGTAGAAACTCCTTTTGTATAAAGTTTTATGTGTCACACAATACTACTCAGAAGAAGTTCAGGTTTTTTAACATAATAATGTTGGCATCAGAGGGTATCCCTGCCAGTTCTATAACACAAAATTTGACTCCGTTACAAAAAGGGAACATTTTTTTGTACATATTTATAATCTAGTGGTGTAATTTCACAATATAACAATTGAACATCATGATATTGAAACGGTGTGATATTCAGCAAACTTAATATTGTATCCCGTCTCCTTCTGGGATAGGCTGAGATATAAAGATGGACAGATTTCTACCTGCTACCTACCTGACAAAGCCCTTTCGTTCCATTTCACACATGTCCGTTTATTCTTGTTACTTTTATATAGCCTTTTTAAAGGCACCGCGCATAACATGCACGCTGAGATTGAACTAATTAGCAGATAAAAATTTTGATAATTTGTGATAACTATACTCGTATAAAACTAACGTAAACTTGAAACAACTGGTTTTAAGTTACCGTGTAAAGTAATATAATAATAGAAATGTTTATTGTTATAACATAGAATAAATATCAAATTCTTAGGTTTTCGCAATTTTTACACATAGAAAGTGAAACTATATTTTCGGATCCAAATCGTGTATGTGTTTTTTCAAACACACCTAAGTTTAGGGCCCTTTACAAGCCGTGACCATGGGAACTGTAAAGAGTGTGTTGGTTTCTTTGAAAAAACAAATATACGCAATTTAGATTTTTTTAAATTTAGAGAGAGAGAGAGAAAAACTCGTTTCATTTCAAACATAGTTTTTTTTAGTAGTTTTTGTTTAGTTAGTTAAATAGTTAGCAAGTTCTGATCCTAAGCTAAATATAACTTGGTAAAGTTTTACCAACTAGTTAAATAATGAAACCGAAACTTCTTTGTATGGTACTGCAAACATTATTTAGTTATTATCTCGTTTTAATAAATTATTATTAACTGAAACTTACCCGTACTTCAGGGTAAACAGACCGATCTTCCTTTTTCGTAAATAATTACATGAATATTGTATTTTTTTCACATATCTTACTGAATGACAGCAGCAATAGAGCTCCTGGTGAAAGAGTTCATCCAGGGAAGCACTGACACCTTACCTATTTCTGCCGCCAAGCAGTAATGTCAGCATTACTGCGTTCCAGTTTTGAAGGATTAGGGTGCTGGTGAAATTACAGGCACATGCAACTTGTCAACTTGTCTCAGGGTGACAGGCGCAGTGGCAGTGCTCCTCAAATCTTTACGATTTAAAGCTCTGAGTGGGACTGCAAGTGTTGTGGACTGGCGTGTACCTTACCGACTTGTTCGTCCCGTCACTTGATATTATAAAAAAAGACTTGAAAATATATTTTTGCTAGATAAGTTAGATTTTAAAAAGGTTATATTGTTTTTAATTTACCTCCAGGTGTAGTTGAATAGACGGTGCCTCCAGGAGTGCTGGAATAGACATCTGGCATTTGCGTAGGATCCGTAATAAGCACCCTTCTTGACGGAATCACCTGACTGTGAGTAGCTTGCCTTGCAATCGGTGACGCAGACATTTTGATAGACTTTTATCAACTTTTAAAGGAGAAAGATTTTTAAAGAATGAAAGACTTTTTCGTTTTAGAGACCACACTCACAATCACTTAGTAGTCGATGATGAAGAGAACTGAGCAGAGTGGCGCGGCTGCCTAAAATAAATACTGCATGCCGGCAGCTCACGCACACGGCGATGTGGGTCCGTGTAAACATACCACACACGCCTGGTTTTAAGCATCAAAACATACATAGACTATTTATTGAAGACAGAAATTAGAGAAACAATATGTGTATAATGAGCATAAATTTATCGAGTACGATCTGTACTTTGCCAATTATTAGCTTAGCAGTCTTCTTAACACAGCTTTACACAATTAGATACTACGAATGAAATTAAACTTTGTTCTCATTTTTCTGACAAAGGTCTTCCCTAACATTATTTAAATTTATCTAGTTCAATTTTTTTTTTGGATATAAAATCCATGTAATACTATGATCACGGCTGACTTGTTTTTTTGTTATGATAACCAAGTGACGGGACGAACATGTCGTGCGCCTGGTGGTAAACGACACGCCTGTCCATAACAGTTGCAGTGTGACACAGAACTTTAAATCGCAAAGATCTCAGCGGCACTACCACTGCGGTCGTCGCCTTGAGACATAAGTTGACAAGTCCCATGTGCCAGTAGCATCCTTACCCTTCAAAACCGGAAAGCAGCAATACTCACATAATGCATGCCAATATGCTTGGCAGCAGAAACAGGTCAGGTGGCAATATTTCCCTGGACGAACTTTTTCACAAGGAGCTCTTCTTCTGCTAAATTTTTGTAAAGTCGTCAACAACTATAGTTACAAAAGTATTTAATTAAACACCTTATTTGTTTGTACCAATTTACTATAAAAACTTTCAATAATACGCTGCATAGGTTTTGCAAAACATTTAAATGATATGAAAATTTATTAATTAACTAGAAATTAGAAATAAAACATAGCATTATTTATACATACAAATTTGATTTATTTTTTAAAAAGCATGTGGTTCAATGCATCTAAACGGAATCGTCTGCCATCGTGTCTGTAGCATATTTACCTACTCTCGCTTCTGTGATCACATATCATTCCAACTCTTTGCCCGCCAACACAGGCGCCTCTGTTATCACACATTCACCCACACCTCGATAACAAAAGTATGCTGCTATTCTACTAATAAATCCAAATGTTCTCACACTGTGTCGGACAAAATATACCTTAAGAAAATACGTTTTTAAATACATATGATATTAAAATTAAATAGAAACATAATTACTAAATCGTCGTAGATGATCTTTAAATCAGTCGTAGTAAAGAACGTAGAAAATCGCGTGTTTTATAAGGTGTACTGATAGTTTTAGGTTATGAAGAATGTCCCTTTGTGTTGGGAAAATGAGGACACCCTACGTAAATGCGTAGTTTTGTATTGTTGATATGGGTTGCTCGTTTCGTGAATTGTTTATCTGAAGTCTGCTAGAATTAGTAGATTGAGTTTGTAGAGTATACATCTGACTGAAGGTCGAAACCTTATGTACTAGTACTGATTATATAACAGGGATGGGAAAGCTTTTTTATGAGATCAAGTGACACTGGTGTTAAGCGACACAACTGTCCATAGCAGTTGCAGTGCCACACAGAACTTTTGATCGCAAAAGTCTGAGCGTCACTGTCACTGCGCCTGTCCCATGTGCCTGTTATGTCACCAGCATTTAATAAGAGCTACCACATTGTTACAGATTATATTCTGGATAAAAATGCTTGGAATTCATCTCCAGTGGACACTTGACGGTACCTATTTAACATTTATATGTCTAAGTGTAAAATTATTTTATATTTATTTTTTATTTACTTTTTAATAAAAACAAGGAGGGATTGTTGTTATCACTGTAATCAATTTGACGACTTCAAGTGTAATTTGTTTACCTATGAAATAAAAATATGTTGAGTTTGAGTTTGAGCATCCTCACCCTTCAAAACCAAAACACAGAATTAAGAGGCTGCAGAATTAGGTAAGGCGGCAGTACTTCTCTGGACGAACTCTTTCACAAGAAGCTCTACTGCTACTTCTGCTGCTCTAATAAAGTCCATTCGAAATAGTGAGGTTTATTATGTTATCGAAACGAATAATAACCTAGTCTTGACATAATATAGCCATACACCATGTGATCATACACCGAACTACATGAAAAATAAACAAAAAATAATCGACTATTTTCGTCCATAGAATCTCTAAATCTCTCTCCTGAAAAGTTGTCATATTGCTGATGTGAACTTAATAAATCAAGAGTAAGTATTTTTAGACAATGTAATAAATAGACGGACTGCCATTACTCGCTTTCACCTTCAACAGAATTATAAAAATCATTTTGTAATAATCTCACTACAGAGTACTAAAAAAACCAACCTCAAAAGTTCGTAGAATTACATCTATTTGCCAAGGTTTAATGGAATGGGTTACCGAAAAGTGCACGTATCCGGATTCGTCCCCTAGTTGGCCACCCTTAGAGGTGAAATATTTTCTTCAAATTAAATGGGACCACTACTGAGGTACCCTCTTTCCAACAAAAAAAAATCATCAAAATCGATTCACAAAGTTATCGCGTAACATACATACAAAAAAACGTACAGTCGAATTGAGAACCTCCTCCTTTGTTTGAAGTCGGTTAAAAAAATGCAAAAGTATAAATACAAGATTATATTTTAATTTCTTTATACATAGTTAAAATTACGAGATTCAACAGTAAGTTAATGTGAAGTTTATACAAAAAGTGATATATACATATTGCCATAACAAATTTGTCTAAAGATACAATACAAATCAACAGAATACACTTCCCTTTCCCAACTTGTGATCTGGCACAGTGTCGTATATTTTATATGAGTGCAAGACAGAGCCGGTTCACGCCTATGTCGCAGCAACAAAGGAATTGCCCTTTCAGAATCACCATCTCTGTCGCAAATTAAACTCAAAGTCTGATATCGAGAAGTACTTCATTATGCCCTTGTATTACGAATATGATAGGTAGTCCTAAAGTATTCTTTATAAATAAAGATTTATGGTCATTGAGTAATTTGTAAAATGGAGAGTCAAGGACATCGGACTTGTTATATTAGAATTTATTATCCATAATGAAATTATGCCTTGTGTTGTTATACCATTTATTGATTTTTTTATGATACCAAATGACTGGACGAACATGTCGTGCACCTAGTGGTAAGCGACACGCCTGTCCGCAGCAGTTGGCTACTGCGCTCGTCACCCTGAGACTTAAGTTTACAAGTCGCATGTGCCTGTAATTTCACCAACACCCTTACCCTTCAAAAACGAAACCCAGTATTGCTCACATTACTGCTTGGCGGCAGAAATGAAATAAAATAAAATAAATAAAATCGCATATATTTGACATGCAAAATACATTATAAAATACAAACATTTATAAAATATCAAATAATTCGTTCATAATTAACAAAAAAAATAGAAAAAATAGGAAAATGTAATAATAATAATAGAAAAAAAAATAAAACAAATAAGGAAACACAAAAAAACATGTCAAAAAGGTCCACGACTCAGCATTTGAAGACTATGCTAATTACACAGCCCTCGCTGATATTCTGCCATGGCCTGTCATAGAAATAGAACAACAGAATTTAAAATAAATTAGTAATTAAAATAGATAAGGTGCCACGACGAACTCTTTCACAAGAAACTCTAACTAAATTATATCCTACTAGTCCTTAAACCTTTTAAAATTATATTAAATGTTGTTGTCACGTCCAGAAATTATGCATGTTTTTATAGAATAATGGAATCACCGATCGGAATGAGAATATAAGAACAAACGTATTACAAAAGTACTTACACCGCCTAGCAGTAGTGTGAGCTGGTTATATACTTGATGATGACCATTTTATATGTATATATATATATATATTATTTATATTTATATATATATTTTAATTTATTTATTTTTTTTACTCACATTTATTATATATATACATATATTTTATTGTACAATAATTAGTCCCGCAGACTTCATTCTTCACCTAGGCTAGGGTTGGCTGGAAGAGATCTCTTCTAGAGATAAGCTCACCTTTGTATATGTCCTTTATAACTTGTGTTTCATGTATCTTTTCTTTGTGCAATAAAGAGTTATTATTATTATCATTAACTGCATTCCGGCTTTAAAGGGTTAAGGATGCCGGTGAAATTACAGGCACACGGGACTTGTGAGCTTATGTCTCAGAGTGACGGGCGCAATTGCAGTGTCCTTCAAGGCACTGCAACTGCTACGGACAGGCGTGTCGCTTAACCACCAGGCGCACGACTTGTTCGTCCCGTCAATTGACCTAAAAAAAGCCACAAAAATGAATTTCTGTGTTTACAAATTATAGAAGTGTTATCACAATTTTAAAGCACATTATCTCTCTGTTATCACATTTGGTTGGTTACATCATCATCCGTCAAAAGTGGGGCATTCGCGTGACTATTATTGAACGACCGTATGTCGAATGTCGATGTGTTAGTTGCCATATGCCAACGAGCACGTACACCTTTCGCTTGCACGTACATGTTTATTTACGAAAAGTTTAATGTTTAAATAAAGTTACTTAAATATACGTCACCTAGTAAAAATTCAAGTTTTCTAGTATAGGTATTTTTTATTGTAGAACTAAAAGGAGCCAATATATATACCGAGCTTTAGCGAGGGTGCCTATTACCACGAGGGTTTATATTGGTGGTCTTGAAATGAAAACTTTACTTTTCATTTTGATAACGAGAGCACCTAATCCACCTCGGAAAAAAATAAAAATAGTGGCAGACTCGTGTTTTTTTGCTGATCACTGCAGTATATGCAACTCAACAAAAGCGTCGCATGCTCCCTTTCAACTAACGGCGGCAGAGTGAGTCACATTTATATACAAAAGTGCAATAATTAGTAAACCTTTAAAAGCTTAGTAAGATCTCACGTCTTAGTTACGACAAATATTAACATATTTGCAGGCAGTTGGTGAGGAAAGAGAGGATTTGGCTATTTTGTTAAAATATGATACAGCGTCCTCGTTTTATGTTAAACTGGTAATCCTACTCACTATAAAAGACGAATCATATAAAAAGTACCTAATACAATT